CCCTACTAATTTCATCATTTGGGGCATTTCAGGGTTGACTTCCTTCTATTGTTTTCCTTTTGAATATGGTTCACATTTTCCATTAGTTTGTATATTGAGTAATTTGAGTTTGGACTTTGGAGAATTTCAATGATACACTGTAGAATCTCTGGATTCTGTTTTATTTCTGTGAAGAGTGTTTTCTTAAAACAGGTAGTTACCGTGGTTGAATTCTAACTGCAGTCTGTCTCCCCTGTGGTGAGAGGCAGATGAGCTTTTTAATTTTTTTAAATTTAATTATTTTACCCTAAGCTGAGTTGCTTAAAATATGTACCATTCATTGAAGACTTACATATAATTTATACACAGAATTTGAGGTCCCCTGCCCCTAATTCTTTTCTTTGAAAGATTTTCTACAACTTTTTTATAGCTGTTGTGGTTGTGTCAAACTCCATACTCAGGTTTTTCATGTCAGATACCATAAATTTTCTAGTGGAACTTTAGCCACCCTGAATGATACAACTCAGTATCTATTCTCAAACTAACCATAAAACCAGGAAGCTCATATATCATCCCCTTTCCTAAGTATCAACTCTTTGCCTAGTAAATGCCCTCAGATTATTGGGAGTCTTTTATTTTTATATTATGTCCACAACTTATACTTGTTATTGTGGATGGATTGGTCCAATAGGATCATCTTGACAATTACTAGAAGTGGACACTCTTGTTGCTTCCATTACTGCTGTTACTGTGACTGTAATTATCAAACCCTTATAGGCAATTTGTCTTCTCTCTCTGGCTAATTTTTATATCTTGTCCTTAATGGTCTACAGTTTCATTAAATCTTGTCTAGGTGTTGATTAATATACTTGACTCTTAAGAGAAGTTTTTATCATTCTGGAAAGCTCTCAGTTATGACTTCTTTGAATGATCTTCATTCCTCCTTTCTATTGGATGTTCTTGAATCTTACTCCATTTTCTGTCACATTTTCCATTTCTTTATATCTTTGGACTGCTCTCTGAGAAATTTCTTCAGACTTCTCCAATTTTCTACATAAGTGTGTCTAATATGGCATATAATATATCCATTAAACTTCATTTTAATTATTTCATTGGAGTATTCTTTAATATGCCAAGATGACTGGATAGTAACTTCTTTTTAAAGAATTATTTATCTTTATTTATTTAGTTTTTTAATTTGACTAGAGAGGAACAGAGAGAGAAAGAGAGAGAGAGAGAGAGCAAGCCACCAGTCCAAGACTCTAACTGCGGTCAGCCATGTGGAAGTCCAGTGCCTTTAAACAGCACGCTACTTGCTGGCCCTGATTGGATAGCATCTTAATCTCCACTTAGGTTTTTATTCCTTTTTTATGTCTTCAACCATACTAAATATAAATTTTGAACTTAATATCTGATAACTCCAATATCTGCTGTCTTTGTGGCTCTGATTCTATACTTTATTGTTTCTGATGACCTTAGCTGAAGGTGGTATGCTTCCTCATGACTTAATGATTCCAAATGTAATTTATAATACCTGGGACTTTATCTGTAAAAACCCTTTGAGGACTGTGTTTAAAGAGGCTCTAATCTATACAGAATTTATATTTTCACTCAGAGAACAATGTGGAATCATTTTAAACAACATTTCTAGATTAGAATTATCCAGGCCAGGTATGAATTTCAGTCCTACAACTGAGTAAAGACTGCATTCTCTTTTCTTTTTCTTTCCCCCGCCCCAACTCATTTCCAGGACCAATATAGACAAGTCTTCAGCGGGAAAGATTTTTTTCCTCTAGTTCACCCATAGAAGGCTCCTGCAGTCACACAGAAATACTCTTAGTTTGCACTGTGCTGCAGGTCCAGGTTTTGTCTATAGTCACCACAATGCCAGAAATGATATATCTCATTTATGTACCTCCTGTGTTTCCCTCAGTTCTAGGTTCCTACTTGCATATCTCTACTTTTGAGGAGACAAGCACAGCATAAGCAGGAAAATAATTTTAAACTCAGGATGGAATGTAAAGCACTACTCATTGAATCCTGATCAACAATATATTCTAGGGTCTAAAACAATATAATTCTTCGAACTCCCTTGATCTATCTCCTCCTATCATCTTCCCCTTTTTCTACTTACCCTCATTTAACCTGTCCTACAACAAGAAGTACATTTATCACGTTATTAAGTAGTAAAAAATTAATAGCTATTTACTAACTTAAAGCTATAAAAACAACCATATTTGGTTGATAGTCCTACCCATAATTATGTATTATGCTACAACTCTTAAACACCTTAATATTCCTGAACGTATTTCTTCTTATTATCAGGTCACCAGATGTCACTCAGCACTATCCTGATTTAAGTTGATTTAATTAGTAATTAATACCTTTATATATCTATACACAGCTAGGTACTTTCATTTGCATGTTTACTGCTTTGTTTATTCAACAATAATCTATCTACTTTGTGCCAGACTACCCCTTAAATGAAACTTAAAGTTCATTTTATAGCATATAAGAGGCTGAAAAAAGAAAACAGTACTTGATATATGAAATGCTTAATCTTAATTTGATGCCTTTAGGTTCCTAAGCATCTTAATGTTGGAATATATTATCTCCTGCTACCTACCTAGATATAAACAGCATTTCTCTATAGATAGGAAGCCAGAATCTCTTCATATGTACAACAGATCACCAGCAAAACAATCATTTCTGCTTATTTATAAAATCATCTAACAAATTTCAATAATCTTTCAATTATAACAAAATCTAAGATTTAAAAAAATGTGACAGATCAATAAATCAAGAGAACAGTAAATCCCTTTTGTCTTCTCTTTGTTTTTGAAAATAATTATTCCTCAATATGTGAGGTAAATTCTTATATGGACAAACTCAGACATCAAGGAGGCAAACATTATAACATTTTAAAAAATTATAAATCTAGGAATTATTCAAATATAGCAAGCAAGATAGTATAAGGAAAGTTTATTTCTTCCCAAGCAATCATCTCCATTATATTAATAAAACATTTCACTTTCTTTGGAGTCAGTAACTTAAAAAGTTTGTAGAAAATCCAACCTAAACACCAATTATGATGCTAAAATCATATTACCCTAAACAGAAATTTATCAGTATCATAAAACACCAGGGAGTATCTTTTATATTATATTCAATCATAACATTATTAGAGTAAATATTCATTCATTCTCCTTTTATCTGTGTCTGATATTTTCAGAAAATTGCATTATAACAATAAATAAATAGTAATGACACACTGAAGCATAGAAAATGTATTTACAGATTAGATTGAAAGATGTGTATTTTTTCATTCCTAAAGTGCTTCCCAAGACACAATTTGAAGTATGATATCTCCCTGTAACCTATATGACTGTGGATAAATTAGATTACCATTCTCACTTCAGTAGGAAAGGTTGAAACTTGTACAACACTCTAATCTGTACCTTTGGTTTACTTCTTCTAAAATGTTTTAGACAACTTAATTTTGTCCAGTTGTCTAATACACCTCTTCCATGCATTTATTTAAAATTTAAAAATATTTTCTTGTAGTAAAATCACAATGATATTGAAAACGATTCCTCTAAAAATTAATAAAATGAATGAACATTAATAAAATTCATTAATAAAATGAATGAACAACCTATTGAGTATCCTTTGTAAATTTTCACATGAATTAGTCACAGCACTGAAAGTAAAATAAAACATGATAGAAATAAAATACTAGTACTTACACATGGAGAAGGCTTGACAGCATCACTTGGAAAAAATCCAACCTCTCCAGATGCTAAATTTCTACCCTAAATTAGAAAAAAGAAAAAAGAAAGAAAGAAATGCCAGTGTTAAGAGCAAATTTACCGCAAAGGATAATCTCATAAAGCTGCTTACACAGTGTTGTTACTTAGGATCCTCAGAAGTCCTCACATGTTGTATCCAGTCCTAAGTATTAGCTTAGTATGATTCCAAAAAGGAAGCAAAGACAGCGAGAGTTGTTTTCATTGTTAAGTGTTATATGTGGCTTTAGATCATGGTTATAAAATAATTCAAGTTTATTTGTCAATTGACCACACAATTTTGTGCATAGGAAATGCAAATAGTTTCCTTTAAACAGAATGTAATAATAGTTAATATTTTATTGAAACCTTACAGTATATATTGGGTCATCTGAAAAGTCGTGACATATTTTTCTATGTTTTTCTATGCAAAAAATGCATCATGACTTTTCTGATGACCCAGTAAGATACTGATCTGAATGTTTCATTTATTTCCTGCAATGGTCCTTAAAGGCAGGTCCAATCCCATTTCACAAATGAGGAAGGAGGAGAAGGTACATGATTTGTCTGTAGTAACAATGCTAACAAGTGCCACAACCAATATTCAAACTCAGATATTCTTACGTCAGAGCTCTACGCTGTCTTGCTACACAAACATAAGACTCATACAGGAGAAGAACAGTGAATAAAGCTAAGAGGTACCAAGAAACCAGTTGGACCATGATATTTGAATATTGTCACTGGTGATGGTATTTCACTAAAGGTATTGAGTATTTTAGAAGAGTTAAAGTGGCATTAATGTGGAAGATGGTTTATTGATGAGTATGACCTGAGGGGTGAGAATATTATTAGGGAACTAGTACCATGGTAAAGAAGAGAGGATGGAGAAGGGAAAACAGGTACTGAAGACATTATTTAATCAGAGTTTGTGGAACTTGTCTGAGAATCAGATATGGAAAGAAAAGATTATGAGGTGCAAATATTGGGAGAAATATCAAGAATAGGAGTAGGGAGTGATTATATAATCCATACAAACCACTAACACAGATGACAATCACATAGAAGTGAATCTTGAAATCACAGGAGCAAACTGTCATGGGAGAAAATATGTAGAGAGAAGACACAAGACAAAATTTACAGGAGTTCAGAGAGTGGTGGCAATGCAGGAACTATACAGTTGGAATTGAAGTGTCTCTTTCAACTGTGTTCACTAAGAGCTCTATGGTGATTTAAGCATGGCACTGAGATACAAGTAAATATGTGTGATATCTAGGGACTATACCAGTAGCCAGGCCTTTGTATATAAATGCATTGCAAAGCTACTTGGGTGCAAAATATAAGGATGTGTGAGTGGGAACCACACACTAAGTTTAGAAAAGAATAAAAATGATTGCTTTTTAAAAGAAAAGACCTCTGAGAGTGTACTAAAAGAAATATGCCTACTTTGTAGGGGAAAGACCTGAGAGAGAGCTTTATAATGGCCTTTCCAAACTATATTTGAAGGTAAATCAACAAATTGGAAAATTATAGCTATTTCAAGAATGGTAAACTGTTAACCCCCATTCTTCATCAGTAGGACAGCAGAAGGCAGCTGGACTATGGCACAGAATTAAAACACTGGCGTACCTCAAGGATGACCCACATGGGAAGGCTCTGATCGGACTTAATGGGCTGGAGACTTCCCTGAGTATGCTAGGCACATGTTTGCCCACAATCCAAGGCTGGCTGAAGCTAGCAGTAGATTGCAGAGTCAGAATCTGGTTGGGGTACTGTCTCTGTTTCTCTTTCATTTATAAGAAGAAGATCAGCAAAAAGCCTTTAAAGAATTCAGAGTTCAGAAGAAGGGTGATATTGGGTTGTTGGAGGTCATGACATGTTTTTCTATGCCAAAATGTGTCATGACTTCCAACAGCCCAGTAGCACTTGTGTGACTGTGAATGCTGGCCAATGGAATATCATTCATTTTCTCAAAACAAGAATGACATGGCCTGCACGTAGGTTGATGTTTTCACTCTGTTTCTCCCCAAAACTTAGGTCCCCCATTACCTAGTCTGTTATCTCCTCTATAAAAACCTTCCCCCAGCTACTGATCCAGATGGAGTCCCATGCTTGTTTTTCCACTGTACCTTCAGATACTGTTAGTAGTACATGAGTAGTAGCATTTTATTCGAACACAGTTTCAGTAACACAGGTAATTATTCTACATGGTCTTATACATTGCTAGACTGAGTTCTTTGATATCAGGGACAACTTCTCGATAACTACTTGAAGTTTCTCTCAATCTGATATCCCATGCCAGTAATTACTATGACCTTAAATTCCTCTTCATTGAAAGGAATAAAATAGATCACAATTTGTTTTTACATAGACAAGCAATGAAAAGCATGAAGCTGCCTGTTTCTACATGAAAATATTATACAGTAACAATGCTTGACCTCTTTTTGATATTTATTTTATGTTAGGAGAGTGCTATGTCACAAAACAGAGAAAGAGAGGTGAGAACACAAGGAATAGAAGAGTAGGAAAAAATAGAAGAGTAGGAAAAACAGTAATAACTGTTATAGTTTATGAAGGTGTATAGACTGACAAAGTCTTTTTTTTTTCTTTTTTTCTTCCTTTTGTAGAACCAAGTGTTCTGCTTAAAAGGTATGATATGGGAACTGAAATCATCCTAGAAAGTAGCGGAAAAGGTGGCATAAGAAATGCCCTAAAATGGGATGAATGTGTAATTTCCCATTCAAAACCAGGACCTCTACAAAGTAAAGAGATAGTAATTAGTAACTATGCCAAGACAAAAGATGGACATTGGGACTAGTCTGGCAAACCAGTATATACAGTCATCATATCAAAAACCATTTCATTTTTCCTCACCTCACTTAAGGACACTATCAGAGGTCTTTCAGGAGGCAGAAATGTAACCAAGGTCATTCTGTATTGCTTTTCCTTAATAAAATCTCCTGGGACCAGCAGTTGGCGTAATGGCTATGTTGCTGGACTCCCATGTAGTCAACCATGGTTCAAGTCCCAGACCTGGTAACTTAAACTCATGCCAGGCACATGTGCATGTGTGCCCAAGATCCCAAGAGGAGAATGGAGGAGAAGGGATTGTGGTGTGGCCACCAATCCCACCCCCCCCGGGGGGGGGAGATTTCTTGCTTTCTGTCTCTCTGGTGTGTGCACGTGCCCTACAGAAAAAAAAATATCTCCAAAAAATAAATATAAAATAATAAAATCTCCTAGCAGTACAGGTCACATTTCCTTAATGGTCACAGTCGTTCCTTAGATGACCAAGAGGGGAGGGAAAATTTAATCTATCTTAATAGATATATAAAGTTACAATTTCTCACTAATTCCTATCAGATGTCAGTTTTAACTGCATTTAATGATTTCTACTTATGAAAGAAAGAGCCATCCCAAAACATTTGGAGAATTTGAAATAAAGCAGGGTGTAGGAGGGGTGTCCCTGGTTCTTTGGTGGATGTGTGTGGGATGTTCATTGGTAATTCATTAATATTAATGGATGGAACAGCTGTCAATCCCCTATGCGTGGATGGAATTGCAGACTGAAACTATGAAACAAACCATCTTCAAAGTCAATGGTTTATTTAGGACACCTTATGTGACACTCTGTGAGATTTTTACTACCCTTGGTGAGAGACATGTAACTGAGTTTTCTTCTTTCCATTCCTGTGTGGGCATTTTATTTTGGGTCAGATAATCAGCTTGTCATCCCTTTTATGTCTATTATGGATGCCAGAGAGAGGGAATCATCTTTTAGTTATCTTCCTGTTTGATTTTGTTCTGTGAGTCCCTTAACATCTTCAAGGTCAACTTGAAAACATTCCTCTCTCATACTTGTGTGTCACCTGATGCACCATACTGTGCTATCTTTATATGCATTTATTCTGCAGGGCATCTCTGTATTATGTGATGGGACTTTTGTAAATCTAACAGTACAAGTTGAGTCATTTATATGAGAAAACACACTTTGGAAAGTACCTAAGAAAATAGGCTATGGGTTGTTTATGATGAGAAAAGAGGCACCTTTACAATTTTCATTAAACAAATTAGAGCAGAAACAAAACAAAATGAAATTATAATTTACAAAACAATAGCTTTTTTCCTGATAAACAAAGACTTTCCTATAGAATATACCATATTAAAATTACTGGCAACCTTCCCTGAAATTCCTGAACATTGCAACAATAAATGTATACTCAGGTACTTATTTATTTCTGACTGACCTTAGATTTTAACTACTGCTCATTTTTCTTCAACAAGAATCCAGAGTGAATCATACTGAATTAAAACTACATTATATTTGCTGGTAGAAATTATATTTACAATCTAGCTGTATTAAAAAATACTTTTCTTTAATGCCAGGATGCCAGAACTAAAACTGCATTTTAAAACTCAAATAGAAGGATGGCTTAAAATGACAAGAGAATATCCTCCAAAGATCTTAATCATAAATTGCTTGGCTCCTAACTTTGTAAAAAGAAAAAAGAATTGCTTTAAGAAAAATACAGTGTCTCTTCCCTGTGGCTCATTTATCCCCTTAATACTACCTGGATTGGAGCTTTAATGCACTCCTAGAATAGCACTGAACAATTTGAAACAGATGTTGAAAGCTGAATGTAAAAGGGACAGATTAATGGTTATTTATGAAAGATTGGAAATTCTCCCAAGTTACAATGCCCTAAACACCTCAACGTATGCATGATGGTGCTGTGGAGATTACAAAGCAATTTATCACACATGGGTAATGGCAGAGCAACTGTCACCCTGCCCAGTCACTTTTCCACCATCAGAAATACACTGTGAGAGGGTGGGGGAGGAAGACATGGGGTGCAGCTGTAACTTATGGGAATAGAGGTAAATGTGCATACAAATTAGTTATTAATTAGATGGGCAGATGGAAGAATGGGTGAGTGAGTGAGAGGAAGGATGGAAAGACAGATAGACAGACAGACAGAGAGGAATAAGCATTATAGTTGGAATTATTCTGATAAACTGTGTAAGGACAT